TACAAAGCAGGGTAAGGATAAAACAGGAAAGAGAAAAGAAAAGAGGAAAATAAAGAATAAAATTGGAAATTAAAACGTACTACTTGTGTAGTGGGCGTGTCCGTATATACATAATTGGACCAGAGGCTACTTATCACTCTTGCCATTCTGTGTAGAAGCAAGAAGTGCCATGAATGCTGCATCAATTTCTTGCTGATACATCAAGTTTATTGTTGGTTACCTGGTATGGCTTGAAATTGTACTAAGTATTTTGCAAAATTCTTTGTACGAACAATGGTGAAGTCTGACCGATCTTCGGGATGATCGGTCACTCGTCTTTTCAACCACGTAACTTCTGCGCTAAACTTAGTAAGAGCTTAAAACTTGGAAGAACAAATGAGGAATTCTTGCTCTTTAAAATGATGTATAATAAAGAAAGTTTTGCAAGCTAGAAAAGTTTTTTTGAGTGTCCGAATATAGGTGGTGTCCGATCATTCATAAGGTACTCTACTGATGACTCGTTTGGATATTCAGTCACTGTGCATCAACTGTTTGATAGTCCATCTGGCATGAGCATGGAAGATATACTTAACCAAACTCTGTGAGTGTCTCGTACTGTATAGCCAGAAACTTAAGGGGGGTTTGATTTTTGTGAATTAAAACATCCCATTCACTGACCATCTTGTTGTACCGTCATTATTTTCATGAATTTTAAATTCACAAATTTGCAAAAATTGAAGTTCCTCAAAAGTTTTTGACTATATGATATAAAACCTATAGGCATAAAAATTTCATAGTTTAATCTTAATTGTGGTTTTATGAAGGGTTTTGAGTGAGTGCATGCCATTGATTATAATTTATTATAGTCTTTAGAATTATATATGTATTATTATACAATTCAGAGCCATTTCAAATAAAATTTTAACTGGCCGCCTCTTGTAACTCCTATTTTCCCAGTCAGTGGCTGGTATTTTTGACAGTTTGTCTAGTTTGCTATATTACAAGTTTTGTTTTTCATCACTTTTATGTTTTCTTTGTCCCATTGTTTTGCATGCACATGATGCACATATTTATTAATGCTAAGGCAATGCAAAACCTTTCTCTTGTGTTGTATCTATAGTAACTGATTTTACTAATTATAATAGATATTTTAAGTATAATTCCAGTGAATAAGCAGACAGGGAACTGTTTTTGATACAGATTAGAATCTTAATTGATGTAATGACACTCCTATATATTTGCATTATAGTGTAAACTGTAAACTTTGTTATGCATGCATCAGGCTCTTGTTTTTGTTAACTTTCCTCCTTTCTATCTTATACATTTTCTCACAGTATAATGGTTGGTGCTCCTCGTGGTGCTTACCCAGGTGGTCTGGAATATACTGAAGTACCACCGTCTAGCTTAGCTTGTCTTCAATTTAATTTATTTGCTACCAACATGGAGGACATACTTGCTTGTTATAATCAAACTGGTATGCACAATAGGACAGGACTGGTGTATCAGTGTTCACTATCCTCTGGGTCTTGTACTGCTCCTCTTGGTAATGGAGACCCTGAAGCACCTGATGGACAGCTATTTGATAGAGTTGGTTAGAGTACCATTCATTGATATTATTTTTATCATGCTCATTTAGGGGATATTGATAAATATAGTCATGGACTCAGCGATGATTATGCTGATTTTTTATTTATACAAAGCAAGGAAGGACAGCAGATGGGGGCTACAGTTTATAGTGAAGACGGATATTTTGTAGTAAGTATAAGAAGCATCCACAGTAAAGCATGCATTTATATGCATTTTGAACTTCTTTTTACCTTACTTTTCTCTCCCTCTCCTCTTTTATTATTAATTGTGTTACAAAAGGCTTGTGCTCCATTATGGGAGTATACTGATTTTAACTATCAAGGTTCTCAGCCAAGAGGTCAATGTGTTTATTCTGGTCGTAGCTTAAAAAATTTCCTCAGAATAGATCCATGTTGTAAGTGCATTATTTTTCTATATTCACTGTATATATAGTCAGAAACTTTTAAAGTACTTTTCTTTCCCTAATTTTGCAATTTTGTTGAGTAAGATCATAAAATCAAAATCCACAATATGTAAATTTTTTCAATACAATATGCTGCTTTAAATTACAGAAATTAAAGCTACAAAATGATTTTGGATGGATATGCAAAAGTTTGATTTTCTGACTAAACTATATTTGCCAGTGCATGACAACTTAATTATTTTGCTATGGCGATATAGCATGTGGTTTTAATTAAAATAATTTGAACCTTTTTTGCATTACAAAAGTTGCTGCTTATTAATACAATTTGGTGTAAGGTGATGCTATGTTCTTTTGCAACAAGTTTCTTGATTACACCAAAGATATGATTTGCCACAATAATTCAGCAACAAATTAAAACTCTATAGTTTTTATGCACTACACAGTTGATGTGGGGTAACCAACTAAACAGTGTATTTATCAATTGATAGTCATAGGATATAACCTTAATCAATATGGCGAAGGTTTTTGTGAAGCTGGATTTTTTGCAAGTACATCGAGTACCCCATTATCAGAAAGTGTGAGTCTACTTGTATAATTTTCATTAATTTTATTTTATTTTTAGAACTTCACAGGTCCAGTTCTAATGATAGGTACACCTGGCAGAGATTTTAGTAGAGGAGGAGTGTTCTATTACAATCCATTGGATACGCTTAATGATACTTTTATTCAGTCAACTCTGTCTCTGGGACGAAGTGTCTCCTTTTATTCCAATTCAAATTCAACTGTTCCATTGGATAGTAGCTTAGTAGGACAAGCACCTACTGTTAGGCCATCAAGTAATGTAGGATATCTATCAGGTCCTATTAATATACCAACTGAAAGTTTTTCATACTATGGTAATATTTTTGCTCCTGTCTGAATAAACCTGTTTATACAAGCAAAAATTTTCCTAACCTTATTCTTTTCATTATTCATTTCATGCTCCTTGTTTTAGGCTTTGCTCTTACTAGTGGTTTCTTAACCAATCAAACAGTCAAAGGTATAATCTATCATGTGTACACATTTTAGAATATCTTTGTACGTAGTACAATTTTTTTATTCTTATTTTCTTTCTCTTTTTCAGATGTAGTTGTATCAGCTCCCAAGTATAATCAGACTACACAAGTTGGGAGGGTAAGATGTATACCTATCACTAAAACCAAGAGTAGATAGCTAACTAATATACTAAAAACTGTAAATTATAAGGTGACTTGATAAAAAAAAGTAAAAATAGAAACCAGTTCATTTTTTGCTATAATTTTCTATGACCTGAAAAATTTTTTGTTGCATAAAGGTGTATCTTAATGGCAATACAATGCACAAAATAATTTAATTGTATTATTATTATTAGGTTTATATTGTTACTAATGCTTCTAAAGTTCCAACATTATTCATTGACGGAGATCAGGTACTCATTTTATTAAATAATTCCATATTAGTTTATTTGACACAGTTTGGTGAGCAGTTTGGATACTCAATTGCAACAACAGATCTTAATGGAGATGGGTATAATTCATAATGACATTGTTATTGTTGATATGTATGATTTAATGTTGCTTTGTTATTAAAAACAGTTTATGTAACTTTAAAATTTAACAGTGTACTTTCATACACACCTTTCACTACTTTTACTTGTATTGTTACTCTACTGAACTCTTTCTATTTCCTCTTTTATAGTTGGGATGATATTTTGGTAGGTGCTCCATTTTACATTGACACAACTACACGGCATTTTGAGTCTGGCCGAGTAGCTATTTATAGAAATGATGGAACAGTAAGACATTATTAAGAAAAAGAGAGAGAGAGAGAGAGAAAGGGAAAAATTATACATTGAGAAAAAAAATTAATTTTACATTCATTTCACGGTTTATAGGGTACTGGTAATTTTGAGTACAGTGGATCAGTGCTAGGTCAGACTAACTTTGGTCGTTTTGGAATGTCCCTAGCAACACTTGGTGACATTAATAATGATGGATACAATGGTATAGTGATTAGTAACAAAATGAATAATAATTGGCCATGTAGATTTTGCAGTAGGTGCTCCATTTGATGGTGATGGTGTTGTTTATATTTATTATGGACAAAATGTGAATGGATCTATTGTTAATACCACCATACAACAAGTACAGGATATTGAGTATGAGCTATACAGCTTTATAATTAAACTTATAAACAGTGCTATTTCAGAATGCTATCTTTATGTGTTTTTTTAGGTGATAAATGGTACAAAAGTTGCAGGTCAAGTCACTAATCTTACTTCAGTCAGTTCATTTGGGTTCTCTCTCTGTGGTAGCACTGATATTGATCAAAATGAGTATAGAGGTAAGCCTTTAATTGCCTTGAATGAATCAATTTAAGCATCAAACCAATCTTTAATGTAACTAGCATTTTTGTAACTTTTAGGTCCTTTATTTCTTTTTTTATCTCTCTTCAGATTTGGTAGTTGGTGCTTTTGAGTCACAGAGTGTATTTATATTACGTACTATACCAGTTGCTGTAGCTAATATCAGTTTCAATATTAATGTCTCCAGTG